GCCGCCCGGTCATTACGCGCCAAAATTGTAGTCGTTGGCAACAGTATTTGAGTTAAAAATCATCATTTTTGTGCTCAATTATCTCACTGTTTTAGTATATACTAAAACAATTATTCACCTCAGTGTCGGTGGCTAGTCGTGGATATTTACCTTACTGCTTCGCAGTTCAGTAAATACCCAGGACTAGCCACCTCCACTTCGGTGAATAATTGTTATATATTTATATCAGTATTTTGACTCCACTACACAACATCAACAGACAAAACGTAATGGCAAATAAGTTTATTTTGGAACGGCTTGGCGAGAACCAACCCTACAAAGTACTTATGTAAATACAATAATAGGTGATTACTGGTGAATACCTAATGTACAACACTCGTAAACTAGCTTTCACAAAAAGAAAAAACTCGTGCTACAAATGGTCGCTCTTGACCCGAATCACCCACTTAAGCACGCAGGCTTAGTGCCAGTTAGGCTGCCAGTTATTCTGGGGAAACTGATTAATAAAACTCTGACAACGCATAACTGGCACAAGGAACACTGCAGGAGCACAGAGGCTAAGCAAAAGAGAGATCTGCTACAACTGGTCGATCTCGACCTGAGTCCCCCAAAGAAGCACGCAGGCTTTGTGCCAGTTAGGCTGCCAGTTAGGCTGGGGAAATTTAATAAAACTCTGATCAACGGATAACTGGGACCGGGAACACTTCAGGAGCACACAGGCTGAGTGCCAGGAAAACTGGGAATTATCTCCACTAATGTACCCAACAAGGCACGTAGCCCAATAACCAGTAAGACTGCCATAAAAGGCTAGGGCAGGACATTGAAAGTAAACAAATGGATAACGACCCTGGCTAGAAGTCTGTAACATTGCCTGCAACCTATAGCTAACTGCATCAAACGAGACTTATGTCGCCTCCTAAAGAGCGGTTCCGGGACAGCTGACCTAGACATACATAGAAACTAAATATATCACGTAAAGGAGCAGGTGCAAAACTGAAATAACTGTACAAGTACAGAAAATAAGAAACGGGAAAAAAACTGAAAACTAGAAGAGCTGAGCTACCGCTTACAAACTGAAGTAAATGCGGTCAGACGGAGGCCAGAAAAAACCTGCCCAAAAAACCCCGAAGGGAAAAAATGCGGGCAGGAAATCTGGGTAGGAACCAAGGCTCAATCTCAAAGCCCTTCCTACGGGACTTTACAATGTCATCGAGAATATGTTGCTCCTAAAACTAAAAATAAAAAACAAAAACAAAAGCAAAAATAAAGAAAAACCAAAGGGAGGGTGGTTCGTAAGCCTAGATGACGTACACGTGATATACGCAGCCTTATATACCCCCGATATGGCTACCCATGGTGCACCCGGCCTAGTACCCAGGCCCCGTTGTATCTCGTGCCGTCAAAATATTTATTTCTGTCTTCTTCGCGGGCTCATTCGTCAGAAATAACATTATGTATGTATGAATGTAGGATGACAAACCACCTTTGTTGGCGTATTATATTAAATGTAATCTAAAGGATTCCCGGAAACCCACTTTCCGCGGTTTAAAATGAAAGCTTACAACGTAAGTGAATACATTCTAGGAACCACTGATTATTCTTGAAGCATGGCAACCAAGCCTATACCTTCTCCCTGCTGCTTTCAGGTTAAAAGCTTTCTTAGGCATTTGATCAACCACTAATTTCAGCTAATCTTCAGAAACAAGTCCGAAACGAAACGCTCAGCACCGTATTTACTTATGATAATTCCAGTTTCTACTACTCTAGTGCTGTCAGAATACTCTTTTCTCATAAGCATTAGGTTAAACTGATGTGAAGTACGGCATTTGACCCGGGCCTAGCAAACAATGTCAGTAAAGTCCTATCGCCTAATGTAAGGGAATCCAAGACAGTTTTGGATTCTAGATTCCAGGTACTGGATTCCAGTATTTGTCAGTGGAACTTGGATCCTGGATTTCAATCGTTAATGGATTCTGGATTCCTTGAGCTGTATATTCCAGATTCCAACGCCCAAGATTCCAGATTTCACAAAAAAAATTTTCTCGGATTCCGGAATCCACAGGCTAAAATTTCACGGACTCCGGAATCCGGATACCCTAACATGGCGCGAATTCTTAACCGCTTCGATTCGGCGCTGGATGAGTAACTTGCTAAACATCGTTTAGTTGGTATTGTCAGTAAAATACTCCTACCATTTTCAGCGTTTCCCTTTTTTGTCGACGCATGAGCTCTCCACTTCAAGCTAAACCAAGCGCCATTCATTGGAACAAATGTAAGTTTAAATGTTCCGGTACAATTAAATTTTCAAATTAAAGTATTCTGACGTATAAAGCTCTTTTCCCGTGATTTCCCATACTCTTGTAGCCCTTGAAGGGGAGCAATTTCACCTTCATGATTCCAAGAGCCAAAACATGGCAACATACTTCTTTTTAAATAAATGAAACTTGATCTCTTTCGTCAAATCTTAAACCACACAGCATTGTTTTGAACAAACACGATGAAAATGCACCTTTCTCTCTTCAAACTGCGGTCGGCACTGTGGATAGATTGAAACTTCTAAGCTCCTAGCGCTGGGTTTACCCCCAAACAGAATGCTCCGGTTTAATTTCAAGTGTCTTGATATAAATCAGCTAACTCATACGCTTCAATTTCCAAGAAATGCATGGCCACACTAACGAAGCGTAAACGATGTGTTCAGCAGCTGTGCGGAGCTGTACATTACATTTCACTGTTTTCGTCAGAATTATTGGCCGTAAATGCATTGCGGCCACGAGACAAGAAACATAACCGAGTCCAGTCTCAACAAGAGACAAATCGCCTCTGCCTCTGCTTCAAAAGCCGCCATAGTTGCAGATTTATTGAATATCCCTTAAGACTTGCAATAAGCGAGATAACTACTCGTACTCGTTTCTTTTATTCGATATTGTCTATTTCAAGTGTACGACCCACTTTATATGAGAAATATGAATTTGGGGTAAAATCCTACTATATAAGTCGAGTTATCTGTTGAATAGGAAACACTTATAATATATCATATCAGTGACCAATCTACTCGTTTTCGTTAATTAATATTGTCTATTCTACGTGTAAGTCATATCTGAATTGATTTGCAATCGACTTTTTTAGCATAATCTATTGGATAGGAAAGTCTTATTACAATTGCTTACTAATACGCATGTTTAATTGTATATCTTAACACGTTTCAAAAGCCATTATATATATACTTGTGTCTTCACTCAATAATGTCTATTTCTGTAACATTGTCTATTTCACGCGTGTCTCCTGGTTAATGAGTAGGTAACTATGAATTAAGAAAAAATTCCATTTTAAAGGTAAGTTACCTTTGGGTAGGAATTTTTGATTAAAAATACCCAATGGGCTTTACTATGCGCAGCTTTAACGGCTCAGCCAATTGAATTTTTGTCTATTTCACGTCATATGTACATTGTGTATGTATTAAACATACAAACAAACAAACAAACCCTGCTTTATGAGTAAGTTACCTACTACTGGCAGAGCAAACGCTAACTACAAATGTCTAGTGAGCTACTACGCGTAATTAATTCAGTGTAACGTCCTCAAATTTGTCACAATTTTAGCGACCTCTTCGACCAATTTTTTATGCTTCGTGCGCATGACCTTCTTAAGAAGGGAGTAATTTCTGAATTAAACTAAAACATTTTAAGAGTAACCTATTTGCTTATGAAGGAATATAACGTTTTCATGGTCGTTAGTCAAATGTTCAGTTGTCTTTACAAAAACAAAAAAAATCCTGATGTAACGATCATATACAAAAAGTAGGCTAAGGATATAGCCTGACGTCTCAGCGATCTTCAGCCAAGCCTGACCTCTATTAACAAGGTTAATCCCAAGCAAGCATTTGCTATAAACCTCTTTCGCTTGTCCTATGCTTTGTTTTCAAAATGTAGGTCATGTGACAGTAGGTGCGGTCACACTAGATGTCTTCTCTAAGGCTTCAAATGGGGAAATAGCTTGGGTTGGGTTCACTCTGGGTTTTGATCGTTTTCATGTTTGCAGTTACACAGCGATAAGCTCTCCAAGGGTGAAGAAAAAACTTGAACCTGGTATCGTGGGAAAACGTCGTTGTAAACAAAGGCAAATTGTTGCTCAACAATCAAAAGTACGGGTTTAATTTACAAAACTAGTTCCAACGACTTCATAAGGAAAGAATTCTTGAACACTTATGTAAAGAATACTTTAGAGTGTTTCAAGGTGCTTTTGAATTACGTAGCAAAAAAAATTCACAGCAGCGCTCAAAATCCTGCTGAGTTTCGAACCACGAGTAGGATTTGGCGCCAAGAACATTGCATTTTCTACTGTTTGGTGCCGCTTTAGGTTTTATTTAACCCATAGAACGTAACTCGGGAACTGTCATGAACTGTCTTTTGTTCTTTTTGACGTATCCATGGAAATGTTCCCGAGGAAATTCTACCTTAGGGAAATTGGTTACACACAAAAAGTTGCTTCTACTTGGGCAACAGCCATTTGCCCATGAGTAAAATCGCCAGTGTGACCACACCCAATACTCGAACATAACTTTTTCTTTTAAATTCGTCTTATTCTAGTGTTTATGTACGCATACTTTATGAAAAGACAAAAGGTCAAATTCATTGGGAAAACAAAACATACCAGATAAAGAGATCTATTTCCCACGACGGTAAATGAAAAATATATACGGCTTTTGGGCACCATTGCTAAAACTTCCCAGATAATCGAAGACCTCGCTTTCTCTTTGATCTATCACGTGAAAAAGCCACACTTCACTGAGTGTAATATAAGAAAAGAAGATCGCTTTTACAAAATATATTAAAAGCAAATAAGTTGTAAACCTGTTTTCAACCTAAGTAATTTGTTTTCTGGGAACACTTGGGTAAACTACGTTGTCACGATAAACGATTACACATGAATTCCCGCAAAAAAGATTTCTAGCGATTCAACTCTATCAACTACGAAAGTTTTCACAAAATTCTTGATGAACGTTACACAGATCTTGACAGTTCATCGATTATCCTCTGCATGGTTGGTCTCGCTTCAGGATCTGTCTGCAGGCATCGCCGCACCAGGCCCCTCAACACATGGTTCGTCATGAGCAGAACTTGCTGTTCACGCCTTCTAGGATCTGGAAGTTCCCGGACGCACATTTCACAAAGAAGAACACCAAAGCTATAAACATCAACCTATGAACGATAAACACATTTTTAAGTTTTAATTTTTTTTACTGACCTCGCAAGTGGTTTCGAAACAATTGAAACTTCCTGAAAGTTCATGCTCATTGTGGACACTTCTCGGTCTCACCTACTTCTTAGTTATACCGTTGAAGGTTTCCTAATAAAGAACTCAATATAAACTTTACGTTGACAAAGAGCAGGATTAGTGTGTGACGTAAGTCTTCTTGTCACGCGGTGCGGAGATGATGACACGAAGAAAAAAAGTTCGCCCAGCATCGCAGGTTTGATTGGAGTAGAGCTGATGGCGCAAAAATCTTGAGTTTACCTGTCGAATGTATTACACATGAGACCAGAATCTAAAAAAAATTTCGACATGAATATTATATGTAAGCTGCTAAAATTGGACCTGATGGTTTGGAGGTTTGATTGATGTAGAACAAGTGCGCCGTGAGACCTAATGGCAACTGATTTGTCAGGCAAACTGGCATTTTATTGCGCCATCATCTCCGCGCCGCGTGACTAGGAGGCTTACGTGTCATGCTAATCCAGTTGTGTTGTGTGTCAACGTAACTTTGTTGCATTCTTCAGGAAACATGTTACAAACATATTTTAATAGAAGAACTCTTTCGAAACCACATGCGCAGTCAGCGAAATTACATTCCTATTGCCTGTATTAGTTTAAAATTTTAAGGTTATTTGAGACATCTTTTAATAATTATTTTAGATACCGCTGTAGCAAATTTTTAGGTCATTTTAGATCAATCCCTTTTTTTGTAACTACGCAACCAGTATCAAATTCAAATCTGCATTCCTGTATGTGTGATTAGACCTGAATTTTTAACGATAACCTCTCTGTATTCGATCAGATTGAAAAATCTTTAAATGGATAAAATTCATTTTAAGACATTTACACCGATTCAAGAAAACTGAGCTGCTAGTAACTATTAACTGCATGTACCTCGGGTGTGAATTAACTGCTCATTAAGCATGCAGGAATGCAGAGATGAATCTGAAATCTACACAAAGCTAAACAGATCAGCATCAATTTGCTACTTCCAATTTTACACCAAGGTGAAGAAGGACATAGTGTAGTACAGTTTCTTTTGTGTGAGTCAACGACCAAACAGGCCTTAAAATCCTACGCGCTCAACATCAATGCACCAACGCGTTTCTTTTAAATCTAAAACGTGTTGATGAAACAGTGATGAATCAGAAAAGCTCTAAATTCAAGAAAACTCACCTTCACCGTTTGGTTTGGTGTCCATGCCTCAGGAGCGCTGTAAATCGCGGCTCCAGGACCCTTTGTCATGGTCTGCTGCATGAAATTAGCAGTGCCATAATCTGACACTTTCCCTCTCCACTGATCACCCTGTCGCCATAGCAACACATTAGCACTGCTCACATCCCGGTGAATGATGGGCTCTGGTTTCTTCTGATGAAGGTAGTTGATTGCTCGGGCTACATCCAGAAGAATGACACGTATTTCTATCTCGGAGAGTTGCCGCTGTTCTAACAGAGCTCGCAGACTTTTCTCCATCAGCTCCGTCACAAACAGAGGGTTTCCCTCATCATTAGTGGCGCCGATAAACTGAAGCAGGTGAGGATGGCGGCACTTGGATGCAATATTCATTTCTCTCTCAAAAAGACGAATATTATGAGGGGAAAGAATCAGATCATGAATTTGCTTCACTGCTACAGTACAGCCACAATACAAGCCTTCATAAACACTTCCCCAGCCTCCCCTGCCAAGGCATTTATTGGTCATTTGAATTTCATCGCGGGAAATGACCCAATCGCATGATTCCTGTTGTTGCTGTTCACTTATTGTTTGCTGGGCCAACGAAAGACTTAACACAAGTTCATTTACTTCCCGGTCTTTGTCTCTCAGCTGCCTTTCCAAGGTGGAAACCCGTTGTTGGGAGTTTTCAAATCGCTGCCGCATCTCCCTCAGCTGCCTTTGTGAGTTTTCTTCACGTTGCTGTGTCTCCCTCAGCTGGATTTGCAGGTTTCCTTCGCGTTGCTGCTGTCTTTGCGAGTTTTGCTGTAACTCCCTCAACTGTCTTTGCAAATTTTCTTCGCGTTGCCGCATTTCTCTCAGCTGCCTCTCTAAATCTCGTTCGTCCTGCCGTACTTTTCTTGATGGCCTTGGTATAGGAGTTTGTAAGCTTGCTCCACGTAGATCTTGCATATTTTCTGCAAGGGTTTAAAACAAGGAAATTAATCACTCAAAGTCGCCCAGGAGAGGAGAAGAGTATGTCTTCGTAGCAGAAAAAAGAGAATTCTAAAATTCAAGTATTTAAAGGCAGAAAGCATACCTAAGAATAAACAAAAACTACGGCATACAAGTAAACCGCGAGCTCTGATTGGTCAGTTAGCCATCTACCATTTGCCCGTTGGAGCACGCAAAGAAAAGCTAGCGCGGTAAAATTGAGGCAAATATTAAGCAAATCTGCTCTCCTGTGCGGTTTAACATGCACTGATAAAATGTACAAATGAAAAGTGGAAGTTGAAGAAAATACTCAGTTGTCGTTTTGAAGAAAAGTCAAATGATCGAGCGACAAATTTGCCCTAGAGAAATTCCTCACTGTTTTGTTCGCAGCTGGGAGCTTAGAAGAAAACCCGAGTGAGCGAAGTTTTAGCCTGCGTAGCAGGCGCTTGGAAGTAGTAGGCCCAAGAAAAAACGGGCGCGCGAGAAGGAGACACGCGAGGGGAGAGGTATCCATCTCATGCAAACGACTTCAGTGTAAAAAAAATAATGTCCAGTGCCCCTTTAAGGCAGAGCCCTGCTATGTAGAGAACTGTAGGGAGTCTCCCCTATTTACAAGGTCTCTCAACATTGTCTTTTTCAGACTGGTTGTTAAAACTTCCCCACAAGAGTTAACGTTTTGCAGCATTTTTGAGCCACTGTGCCTCGGCAATCAAATCTTCGGGTATAGAACAAGTCCTAAACGACTTATTTCGTTGAAACAGTAATGCCTGACATCAAAGCAGGGGGATTTTTTTTATAAATCCTAATAATTCTAAATAGCCAATCAGCTGTTCTCTTTGAGTTTGTTACATTAATGGTTGCAAAGTTGTTACGTTAGCGGTTAAGTTTTTTATTATGCCGAACTATTAACGCCGGTTATAACCCAAGTCTAGAATTTGTTGCTGTCAACTCACACCTGGCCGGACTCTTGGAAGAGGGCGAACATCAACCCCCTACCAAAGTTCGACATCCCCAAAGAGGATTCGGACTACCGAGGCATCAAAGTCACCCATGTAAAAGCGGTTGTAGAAAATAGCCTTAGCCCTAGCCAATTTGAACACAGGCAAGGGGGTAACTGCACAAACGGCTTATTATCTATTCAACTCTATGTATATAGACAACTAGACAACGACGACTGTAAGGCAGTTCGTTTGTTTACAATGGATTTTAGCAAAGCCTTTGATTCCGTAAATCATAGCAAGTTATCAGCTAAACGTAAGCAGCTTTCCTCAATCCTTACATCGTTAATTGGTACCATAGCTTCTTGGTTGCTAGGTAACAGCGAATTTTCTATAATAATCACCTACGTAACTGGAAGGTCGTTAACAATGGAACCACCCAAGAAAGTGTAAGCGGGCCTTATCTACTTAATATATTTTTGAATGACCTAGAAATTTCTTATAACAATGCTCCTGCTCTATTTAAATATGCCGATGACTCTACAATAGTGTCTCCTATTAGTAATCAATGTGATCCGTCTGCTAACCTTGTGGGACAATTCATGACATGATCTAAAGAGAACAACATGTCTTGCAATCCGAAGAAATGTAAAGAACGTATCTTCAGAAGTAAAGGCAACAATTCTCAATATAACCCCGTATTTGACATTTCTAAATGCAGCAGTCTTGTGTTACAGGGGATTACGATCCAGAGTGATTGTAAGTTTCAGGCGCATGTTAATCTCAAATTAATTAAAGCAAACAAATGTCTCCATGTTTTAAGGGCCCTTAGAAAAGAGCAATATTCACAAGCTGAAATAGATCACTTGTTCACTGTCTTAGTTTTGCCTAATTTTATTTATGGTTCACCCGTATATGGAGCTTCTGAACCTGATCTTAATATTATACAGAACTTTTTAGATAGATGTCATAAACGCCGTTTTATTTCTTACCCCGTTTCAATCAAGGATCTATTAAAAAATCAAGAATGTAAAATTTTTAAGAAAGTAACTTCTATAAACAATCACCCGCTAGTTTCATATATTCCGTCAAAGAAAATCTGTTCTTATAATCTCCGTAAAAAACAATGTGCCCGTCCTAAAATCAATACTGAGCGTTTCATGTCTGCCTTTGTAAACAGATTAATATTTAAACACAACCTTAGTACAGGATAGTTAGGATTCTATGATTACGTTATTTATTTCATTATGTTTTTTTAATGTTTTATTCATAAACAGTTGTAACATCAGATATGTATCTCTATCTTATGTGAAATAGAGTCCCATTATTATTACTATTATTATTATTATTATTACTGGTTAACTTTTTTATTACATTAGTGGTTGATATTTATTACATTAATGGTTAGTACTGCATTAGTGGTTGATATTTATTACATTTATTTAGTGGTTACTTCTACATTAGTGGTCGATTAGTACATTAGTGTAGAGGGTGATACATACACGAGCCAAAACGAGCGGAACTTATCCAAGTTTCTTTAGCTTGAAACATGCCAGGGAGTATTGCTACTCTCTCCTCGACAGCGGTTCGTGAGTTTTGCGCTAAATTTCCGGCCTTTTATAGGTGCTAGCAGCATCCTCGCTTGGCGAGTTGCTTCGTAGTTATTCAAAAGAGAAATTTGTCGAGACCATAAAGGAGTGTTTTTCTCGTAGAAAAGTGAACACTGAATAGTCGGGTCTGAACTGGAATAGAATAGTTGGTATATTTCATTGCCTCTGAAGAGAACTGTAAAGAGTTTGTAAAACTAGAAAAAAACTAAAAAAAAAAAAAAACAAGCAAGCTTGAGTTGTACTTTTAATAGGAGCTATTTTTCCATTAAGCTAATTCAAACCGGCCACTTTGCTCAAATTCATTTATTTTCCGCAGGCAACTCTTAAAGCAAAACGGTGAACTAATACACCTTTTGCTGTTCATTACGAGAAAATACGCAATCATTTTCGTGAAACGGCGACCAACAGTGCGAAGATACATTCATTAGCGCGAACATTTGCGCATAAATCGGATTCAATTACGATATCGGCATTTTAATCAACATTCAATAACACTTTTGGGCATTCATATGCGCCATTCGGTATACAAAAGAGCATTAACATTTTTATGACACTGTTTGCAATTCAATTGCATTCCTAGTCTGCTACACAGCCGTTTTTAGTGTCGTCACGCAATGCTCCTCCCCACTGACTTGTGTGGAGGAGCATTACGTGACGACGCTAAAAACGGCTGTGTAGCAGACTATTGCATTCCTGGACAACCTTAGTATGGATAAGACAAACATTAATGCGTTTGTACAATCTTGAAAATGGAAAATGGTTTGGACTCGCCTTGCTTCATATCCACTACAATACGGAAATTGACCTTGATGAAGTAATCAGCCGATTTGCAAGGATTCATCCGCGCGAGGAGAATGCAACTGGCCAATATCCTGTCTGAATGACTCAGAAACCAAGGAAAAGGGTGTGTAGGGAGTTAAAATCCGAAAAATTTCCCGGGGAGCATCCCCCCGGACCTCCCTAGAGACTTACGCTTTCGGCGATCGTTTAGAAAATCGTTATTAGTTATCCTGGATCAGCGTCTGTACCTCATATCCTTACCCTCGTTATAATTTTAATACTTATAGGTTTTGCAAGACGATGTCACCCACAGGGACGTCGTGTCCTTTCAAGTAATTTCACAATGTGCAGCAACAAGTTTATTATTTAAGCACTCTGGAAATATCTAAAATAAGAGGCTGACAGAATGATCTCTCGGTATGTATACTGTATATGTATACTAAACGCAAAACTACATGGAAAGTGCTTTGTACGGTATTTAAGCAAGAGTTTGGTTTTTGCATCTCTCTGACACGTCAACAAATCGTGCTTAAATACCGTGTGCGCGTACTGTCCATGTACTATTCTACATGACTGTAAATTTCTTTTAGTTTCATGTAATCTAGTTTAAAAGCCTTGTGCGGGCTAGTACTCTTTTTCAAGAGACGTTTCTTTTTTACTTTTACCGGCTCCCAGCACTTAATAACTCGGTAGAATCTCAATCAAACTTCAACTTACAGGTAGACTTGTTTAATTTTGTGATGGATAGGCTACCGCTATTGAGTGTTTCAACATCCTGGGCCAACGTGAGATATAACTCTCTCCGCAATCCCTCTTTTTCCCCTTTCTCCCTATTTCCTACCCCTATCGACACTTGCTACGCAGGCTACGTGATTAGACATTCTGGGCCAGCGTGAGATACGCCATTAGAAACAACGAAATGAAGGTGTAAATAATACAATCATGTAGCTCTTCCCAGATCCATCTCGTACTGGTCGATGATGAATTACCCACAGAACGTGTACAGAGAAAAATGGAAACGTACTTTGAGAAAGTCTTACTAATGTTTGACTCTAAGCTTTCATTTAGTCTTAAATACTAGGAATAATCGGAGCTTAGGAGAGTGCGTTCGATATGTTTGTTAGGCATACAGGTAGCAGTTGAGGCGGAAGGGTAGTTGCGATATAGATTAATATGATTATAGACTGCAAAAGAGTCGGTTTTTTCCTCAAAATTAGTAAAGAAATCGGTAAAGCGTGGCGTAAGAGCCTTACGCGCGCGAGGCGCGCGAGCCTCACACGCCCGTAGGGCGTGTGAGCCAGTCTCGCTCTCTGTTTTCAGCCTCATTCCAGACCTTTTGTTTGACTGCTCGCGCGTACTTGAATACGCAAAAATACGGACTGTTTTGCAGTCTAATATGATTATGGCATATTTTGAACGTAAGGGTTGCGTACAGCGAAACCTCTATTTAAACTGTGTATCATTATAAGAACGTTTTCAAAAGATATCGTATGGTTCGGTGTCAAGTGCTTGTAATCGGAGTAGACATCATGCCAGAGTGCGACGGGCGTGTAAATGGAACACTTTGTTTCCTGGCACGAGTTACAGGGCGCAGTTGCTCAAAGGCCGATTAGTGCTTAACCCGGGATTCTTTTTCTTTCTTCAAAAACAT